AGACACTGGTCAGAGAAATAGCAAGCATCGAACTTAAGCTAAAAGAATCCTTTAGGAGTCAGGAATCGCGGGAAGAACTAAAAGCCATAAATGAAATCGAAAGAAACCCAAAGTATTTCTTCTCCTATGCCAAATCAAAATCGAGAACAACGTCCAGTATTGGGCCCCTACTTCAACAAGATGGGTCCTACACGGATGACAGCAAGGAAATGAGTGAACTACTCAAGTCCCAATATGACTCTGTTTTTAGCAAGCCGCTAACCAGACTGAGAGTCGAAGATCAAAATGAATTTTTTATGAGAGAGCCACAAAATTTGATGAACACAAGCCTATCCGATGTTATCCTGACGCCAAATGACTTCGAACAGGCGATAAATGACATGCCCATGCACTCTGCCCCAGGGCCAGACTCATGGAACTCTGTGTTCATCAAGAACTGAAAGAAGCCCTATCACGAGCCTTTTCCATCCTATGGAGAGGGAGCATGGACACGGGGGTCGTCCCACAGTTACTAAAAACAACAGACATAGCCCCACTCCACAAAGGGGGCAGTAAAGCAACAGCAAAGAACTACAGACCAATAGCACTAACATCCCATATCATAAAAATCTTTGAAAGGGTCCTAAGAAGCAAGATCACCACCCATCTAGAAACCCATCAGTTACACAACCCAGGGCAACATGGGTTTAGAACAGGTCGCTCTTGTCTGTCTCAACTATTGGATCACTACGACAAGGTCCTAAATGCACTAGAAGACAAAAAGAATGCAGATGTAATATATACAGACTTTGCAAAAGCCTTCGACAAGTGTGACCATGGCGTAATAGCGCACAAAATGCGTGCTAAAGGAATAACAGGAAAAGTCGGTCGATGGATCTATAATTTCCTCACTAACAGAACACAGAGAGTAGTCGTCAACAGAGTAAAGTCCGAGGCAGCTACGGTGAAAAGCTCTGTTCCACAAGGCACAGTACTCGCTCCCATCTTGTTCCTCATCCTCATATCCGACATAGACAAGGATGTCAGCCACAGCACCGTGTCTTCCTTTGCAGATGACACCCGAATCTGCATGACAGTGTCTTCCATTGCAGACACTGCAAAGCTCCAGGCGGACATCAACCAAATCTTTCAGTGGGCTGCAGAAAACAATATGAAGTTCAACGATGAGAAATTTCAATTACTCAGATATGGTAAACATGAGGAAATTAAATCTTCATCAGAGTACAAAACAAATTCTGGCCACAAAATAGAGCGAAACACCAACGTCAAAGACCTGGGAGTGATCATGTCGGAGGATCTCACCTTCAAGGACCATAACATTGTATCAATCGCATCTGCTAGAAAAATGACAGGATGGATAATGAGAACCTTCAAAACTAGGGAGGCCAAGCCCATGATGACACTCTTCAGGTCACTTGTTCTATCTAGGCTGGAATATTGCTGCACACTAACAGCACCTTTCAAGGCAGGTGAAATTGCCGACCTAGAAAATGTACAGAGAACTTTCACGGCGCGCATAACGGAGATAAAACACCTCAATTATTGGGAGCGCTTGAGGTTCCTAAACCTGTATTCCCTGGAACGCAGGAGGGAGAGATACATGATTATATACACCTGGAAAATCCTAGAGGGACTAGTACCGAACTTGCACACGAGAATCACTCACTACGAAAGCAAAAGACTTGGCAGACGATGCACCATCCCCCCAATGAAAAGCAGGGGTGTCACTAGCACGTTAAGAGACCATACAATAAGTGTCAGGGGCCCGAGACTGTTCAACTGCCTCCCAGCACACATAAGGGGGATTACCAACAGACCCCTGGCAGTCTTCAAGCTGGCACTGGACAAGCACCTAAAGTCAGTTCCGGATCAGCCGGGCTGTGGCTCGTACGTTGGTTTGCGTGCAGCCAGCAGCAACAGCCTGGTTGATCAGGCTCTGATCCACCAGGAGGCCTGGTCACAGACCGGGCCGCGGGGGCGTTGACCCCCGGAACTCTCTCCAGGTAAACTCCAGGTAAATATATCTTGAATAATTAGTAACAGTAGCGGTGGCAGTAATAAGAGCAACTATAGAGGTGGATGATGCAGTGGCTGTCTACCCTTAACTGTTGAATCCTACCAGTATACCCTTACTGTTGATTCCTACCAGTATACCCTTACTGTTGATTCCTACCAGTATACCCTTACTGTTGATTCCTACCAGTATACCCTTACTGTTGATTCCTACCAGTATACCCTTACTGTTGATTCCTACCAGTATACCCTTACTGTTGATTCCTACCAGTATACCCTTACTGTTGATTCCTACCAGTATACCCTTAACTGTTGAATCCTACCAGTATACCCTTACTGTTGATTCCTACCAGTATACCCTTACTGTTGATTTCTACCAGTATACCCTTACTGTTGATTCCTACCAGTATACCCTTACTGTTGATTCCTACCAGTATACCCTTACTGTTGATTCCTACCAGTATACCCTTACTGTTGATTCCTACCAGTATACCCTTACTGTTGATTCCTACCAGTATACCCTTACTGTTGATTCCTACCAGTATACCCTTACTGTTGATTCCTACCAGTGTACCCTTACCGTTGATTCCTACCAGTATACCCTTACTGTTGATTCCTACCAGTGTACCCTTACTGTTGATTCCTACCAGTATACCCTTACTGTTGATTCCTACCAGTGTACCCTTACCGTTGATTCCTACCAGTATACCCTTACTGTTGATTCCTACCAGTATACCCTTACTGTTGATTCCTACCAGTGTACCCTTACCGTTGATTCCTACCAGTGTACCTTTACTGTTGATTCCTACCAGTATACCCTTACCGTTGATTCCTACCAGTGTACCCTTACCGTTGATTCCTACCAGTGTACCTTTACTGTTGATTCCTACCAGTATACCCTTACCGTTGATTCCTACCAGTGTACCCTTACCGTTGATTCCTACCAGTGTACCTTTACTGTTGATTCCTACCAGTATACCCTTACTGTTGAATCCTAGCAGTATTTTCTTACCGTTGATTCCTACCAGTATACCCTTACTGTTGATCCCTACCAGTATACCCTTACCGTTGATTCCTACCAGTATACCCTTACTGTTGATTCCTACCAGTATACTCTTACTGTTGATTCCTACCAGTATACCCTTACCGTTGATTCCTACCAGTATACTCTTACTGTTGATTCCTACCAGTATACTCTTACTGTTCATTCCTACCAGTATACCCTTACTGTTGATTCCTACCAGTATACTCTTACTGTTGATTCCTACCAGTATACTCTTACTGTTGATTCCTACCAGTATACCCTTACTGTTGATTCCTACCAGTATACTCTTACTGTTGATTCCTACCAGTATACTCTTACTGTTGATTCCTACCAGTATACCCTTACTGTTGATTCCTACCAGTATACTCTTACTGTTGATTCCTACCAGTATACTCTTACTGTTGATTCCTACCAGTATACTCTTACTGTTGGTTCCTACCAGTATACCCTTACTGTTGATTCCTACCAGTATACCCTTACTGTTGATTCCTACCAGTATACCCTTACTGTTGATTCCTACCAGTATACTCTTACTGTTGATTCCTTCCAGTATACTCTTACTGTTGATTCCTACCAGTATACTCTTACTGTTGATTCCTACCAGTATACCCTTACTGTTGATTCCTACCAGTATACCCTTACTGTTGATTCCTACCAGTATACTCTTACTGTTGATTCCTTCCAGTATACTCTTACTGTTGATTCCTACCAGTATACTCTTACTGTTGATTCCTACCAGTATATCCTTACTGTTGATTCCTACCAGTATACCCTTACTGTTGATTCCTACCAGTATACCCTTACTGTTGATTCCTACCAATATACCCTTACCGTTGATTCCTTCCAGTATACTCTTACTGTTGATTCCTACCAGTATACTCTTACTGTTGATTCCTACCAGTATACCCTTACCGTTGATTCCTACCAGTATACCCTTACTGTTGATTCCTACCAGTATACCTTTACTATTGATTCCTACCAGTATACCCTTACCGTTGATTCCTACCAGTATACCCTTACTGTTGATTCCTACCAGTATACCTTTATTATTGATTCCTACCAGTATACCTTTACTGTTGATTCCTACCAGTATACCCTTGCCGTTGATTCCTATCTGAGAATATTGCTTCCCACATTTAATGTCCGATTCAGTTAAAATAATTTAGTTCATGTGTATGTTAAATTTTCACAAGGTAAAAGGTCCGAGAGAGAGAGAGAGAGAGAGAGAGAGAGAGAGAGAGAGAGAGAGAAGAGAGAGAGAGAGAGAGAGAGAGAGAGAGAGAGAGAGAGAGAGAGAGAGAGAGAGAGAGAGAGTCACTATTCACTGTTATCATCTTTGGGAACGAGAAAGCAACTCTTCTCAGCAAAGGTTTCTGCTGAGAAAATTGCACATCCCCTCTCTCAAGTTTATTATATTATAGTGCAGGTAGTTTAGCTAGCTTCCTCCTGTATATTATTTTCAGGTTAATTACTCACTACACTAATTTGCATCACAATGAACATTCATACATTTTTGGACACCCTGTTATTCAGTTTAGGTTAGGTAAGGCTCGCTGGCCATAGTTTATATGATGACCCGCAGCTGGAGCTTTTGGTCATTCATTTATCAAATACCACTAAAAGTGGACAAAATATAGCATCAGAGATCCAGAAACTAAGAGGAAACATGTCACATATATTATTATTATTATAATCAAAAAGAAGCGCTAAGCCACAAGGGCTATACAGCGATGTCACATATAACAGCGTGTTAGTCCCGGCTAAGATTCCCACACCATGAACCACACATACACTCTTGTGTGTACATGTACTGCTGCTCTCAGTGTACATATATCAAGATATACTCATCAAATTATATACACTTGTTGCCCGTTAAAAGAAAATATAGTTCAAACTTTTTTTTTAAATTTGAAGGTCATAAATACAGTTTTATGTAAAATGTTTATTTCAGAGAATATATGTCACAATATATATCATACCACTTGCCGATACACTAAGTTACATTTATTTAAATATATAAAATTAAAAGTGCATTTTTCCCTTGTCTTAAAATGTAGGAAATAAGCCTAGTACATTATAAACTATCTCAGATTTACTTCACCTCTACAACATTCAGCATGTATATCCAAACATTCCCAAACATTTATTACTGATCTACTCTTTATGTTACTAATCTCTACCAATTATTTATCAAATATTGTTCAACAATTTGTCACATTTTTACAGCATAATACACACCTGCCCATTTTCTAAATCAAAGTGAATATTTCGCTGTAACTAAGACAGTAGGAAGGGTAACTGTTCATGAGCCTTAAGTAGTCTTACCTGACTGTATCAATAGCTCGAGCCTTCCGCTGGCTCCTGAAGGACCTGTGTTGGATCCTGACATAAGTGGAGACGGGTATATTTCCTTACCCTTGTTCACTTAGTAGTAAGTAGGTACCTAGTTGTTTATCGACTGTTGTAGGTTGCATCCTGGTGAAGAGCATCAAAGGACTCCAGTGAAGATAATGTTTCTTGTATTATCCTGGGTTACTAGCCTTCTAGGTTAATCTTATTGTAGTTAGTTCGGTGGGTCAGTATTTTGTGTTCACGTTTCAAGTCGTCTCCACGCCACATATCCGCCATGCATTTACATTAATCGCATTCCTCACCCTTTTGGCTACATATCACATATTAGCATTCTCATCATATTTACCAGGCCAATTTTCATCACATATATATTGTTATTTTGCACCCATTTTCCCAAAATTTTTTTAATGAAAATTAGCACAGCCCAATCTTAAGCCACTTTTAACAGCATAATGTATATAACGTTTCTCAAGACTAAAGCAAGATTTGTTTACCTAACATCTATAACACAGGATGGTTTTCTTGTCGTACCCCATCACACAAGATAATTTTCCTGTTATATACCGTCATACATGATGAGATTTTTGCACGAGGTAATGTAATTATCAGCTTCAGATGGAAGACCAGTCAGGCCATGGCGATGTAACTCATTCCATTATGAGTTCACTTTTTTTTTTTTTTTTTTTTATTCGCCGGTATTCTCCCGGCCCGGGTCTTTTCCAAGTAGTGGTGACCCGGCCTTGGCTCCCTATCTGGGGAATGTCTCGAGACTTAAGTCTCCCATGGTTCATTTGATTTGACACATTCACAGGTTTCCTTCCTGCACAGCTGAAGTTACTTTTACATAGGAACTATAATGTTTTATGGCCTATCACAGTGGAAATGTAGCCAATAAAAAAATAAAACTACTGTACAACACTATGTATCAGGCTTTTGAAGTAAAACTTTTACCCCCATCAAAAAAAAAGAGCTTTATTCTCATAAGTTAGTTTATTTAGGTACAGGTACACTTAAGTACAATTATCATACATAGTAACATGTGCAAATTACCTAGGATAACCCAAAAAAGTGACTTAATTTCATTTTTTTGGCACTGAGATCACTTACACGATTTAACACTTGACACTTATGAAGATGTTAGACGTAAATTGGTCGACAATGAACACATTGATGAGTATGATTGAGGCGTATTATCACTGAGGAGCAGAGTTGCCCAAGGTACATACGACAAACATGGCCTACCCTGGCCCATGGGAGCTAATGTGGAAGAGTTGGAGAGAGTTCTCCTCTTCTCCATAGGGTTGGAGCACGTTGCGTCAAGGTAGACACACTGGAGGGTGAGAGAAGGTGAGGCTGCCATCAGCTGGGTGGTGGTCGAGGCAGGACTGTGTGGCAGGGGTTTGACAGGGTCGCCAAGCGCCAGGGTCAGGGCGTCCTGGGACGCGCCAGTGCTGTGCATGCCGCAGGTTTTCAGGGCCTATCTGGTCCCTGATTGCATTACCAGGGTTAGCCATCACGCTCACCCGCCGCTTGCCATACTCCACCCATGTAGTCACGTTCCTGTACGGAAGTGGCAGAGTGTGCCCAGTCAAAGGTTTCCTGCAAACCATATCCACGAAGAAAGTGGTGCACTGCAATACTAACTGTCTAGCGGTGGACATCCTCATATGACAGCCAGTGTTTTTGGTTTTCAAGAAATCGTCGAGGGTCTCCCAGGTCCGCCGGTCTTTGCAGTTATAGTAAATATCTTGGTCGAAATCCCAGGGTAGAAATGCGCCAAGTTTGACAGCGCCGAGGAGCGAGCCATGATGCAGCTCGTAAGACAGGCCCTTCTCTTGCGCAAAGTTGTCCAGGATGGTGATGCCACCCATGATGGCCTCCCGACAGCAGGGCGGCACCAGATACCACGTGATCTTTTTTCTTAGATCAGAACACCTGATGCCCACCTCGCTGCAGGTGAAGCTGTACTGCTCATCATCATAGGAGTGGACACTTTGGAGGGACCACTGTGTGGCGTAAATTTTCCAGTCTGTAGTATCCATTATAGGTTCCTCCTGCAAGAAGAACATGACGTCAGGGCAAGCCAGCGTCAAGTAGCCAGCTTGGGTCACTCTGGTGTGCCAGTCGCGGTAAAGTGCAGGTCCACTCAGAGCGTGACTGAAGGGTACGTGTTGTAGAAGGCGCGTGCTAGTCAAGACGGGTCCCAATACGTCGTCGCAGTACATACATTCCTGGGCCGAATGTTGGTAGCCACTCAAGAAGGTAGCGTGATAGTTGGTGAGAGAGCGCTGCAGACAGCCATGGCGCCACTGACCTTGCTCGTCGCGGTAGCTGCCACCAGCCACACCCTCACCACCCAGACGGTCCAGCACCCGCAGTAGGCGCTGCAAAGAAGAATGCTGCCACGAGAAATACGCTAGCGAGTCGCCTAGGAAGACAAACGATGTGTTCACATTGGCCAGGGCCTCATGGAGCGCCTTCCCGTCACTTACAGTGTCATCATACCTCAGTACTAGCACTGATTTGTTTGTGTCGGGAGGTGGATCATCATTAGACAGTATGAGGATGATGGTGAGGTTGTGGCCGGTGTTTAGGCCTCTCACCACCTGTGACACCCTGGAAGGGTGCCACCCCCTCGCTGGCACCACTACACTCACTAGCTTGGCCAACGGAGGCGTCCCTGTGCAGCGCTCCACTATGAACTTGGTGCCATCGTAGTGTTCTGGGCAGACAAGTGTGGCAGGGCGCAGCGTTTCCCTGTGCAGGCGAGGGTCCAGTTGTGCTGCCACTTTCCCTAGCTCCCTCCACCACCGTCCACCTTGTTCGCTCATACCTTCAATAACACCATCAGCATATGTTATTATTACTTTTAATGAGTAAATGAGTATTCCAACCAGACCACCATGACTTACTTTAGCCCAGATTATTTTAATGATTACTGATTTTTAATGATTATTTGTAAATAAATGGAAACATTTTAATGGTTAAGGAATTGTAAAAAGTCTTTGTTTTTAAGATTGTGCGCTATATTTTGGATGTAAATTTGTCGAGACGAAATAACCAAGGTCCTGCACTAGTCGTCTTGTAAATAATCAATTAAGCTTTTAGCATTCTGTCAATTAACTTGGTTGCCAATTGATTAGCATAAAAAAATTACATTCCTTTCCTATTATTATTATTATTATTATTATTATTATTATTATTATTATTATTATTATTATTATTATTATTATTATTATTATCGTTACATTTGTGGAGTGGTAAACTGTAGGTGTCATATAGCGCCTGGGGAATGGGAGGCAGGCATTCAGATTCGATCCAAGGAAGAGGTGGGCAGATCCAGTTCCTTGGATCAAGAAGCCCTTCACCGGCATCAAGGAACCTTCCTTGAGGGGGCCCTACTGTTATATAATACTTTTGTTTAATATACTCCCATTTTTTCATTTGTGGTTCTTTGAATTTGCAGTAAATTTAAAAATATATTTTGCCTATTAATGTATGACCAAGAAATGAATAGCTCCCTTAATTTTACTTTTATTGGTGAAAATGAAGGAGCAAGTAAATGGAACAGAGTCATTTAATCTAGGAAGTTGACCAAACATTGTCAGAAGAATAACACTTCATCAATATATCCACCAGACATTGGCTACCAGACTGTCCTTAGTATTTCTTCCAGAAATTAAACATGATAAAGGTGTGGAGGGGTTAGCCAGCGGAAGGCCTCGGTCAGATAACCAAAACTCCAACTGTTGGTCATCATATGACTAAAACCCGAGGTAGGAAACACTTATCCTGTTTCCTAACAAACTTTACCTAACCTAATTACTAAACAATCGCTGAGATGATTGCTTCCAACCACTGCATTTTTTTGTGAGAGCACTGCTAACCATAAATTTTCATGTGGCTGTGTATAATTTAAAAATTTAACGATTGCTGAACCGGCAGACAGAGGATCGAGTCTTTACCACTCCTCGCTCTAAATAATCCACACTGATTCAGCACTTTACAGAAATGTAATATAATTAGGATGGAAAAAGCCACCAGTGGCAAAAAGTCTCCATGTACATGTATCATATTTCCACAAGCTGTGAGTAGTAACATACCTGTACATCCTAATCTTCCTCAGTGACCCACATGGATTCAGCACTTTACATCACTACAGCAATATTTGTCGAGGAAATTTAACAGATCTAAAAATATTAGTGAACATCAGAACTAAAAAAAAATAGTCTGCAGTCATAATTTTTCAAATTAATAAGAACTGCAGCAGACCACTGAACTTATGATAGGTAGTATGGGATGAGAAAGTATACATGTTTTATCAAACCATACAAGATAGTCACAGACCAAGTATATAATAATTACTGTCAGTGTCCCTTTATATAAATAGTATTTGGTTAGTGTTGACATGACAGGAGAAGCAATGTTTTTTCTAGCCTTAAAAAATCGAGTCTGAAATATTGGGTATAATATTATCAATAATGTAATATGCCATCACATATAGGAGTTATGTGAGTTATACAAAGAGTTACAATTTTTGTTTAAAGCGTATTAGAGGAGATAATAAGAGTGTGTTACCCGGCTGAGATTTGATATCTCTCTGAAGTCTGGTGAGGGAGGCGGCCAGGCGACGACGCATATCTTGTGATAAGCATGGCTCCTTTGATGGTCTGGTAGCAGCTTCTGTAAGTTAATCTATAATGAATATATATATATATATATATATATATATATATATATATATATATATATATATATATATATATATATATATATATATATATATATATATATTCGTATGTATATATATATATATATATATATATATATATATATATATATATATATATTATATATATATATATATATATATATATATATATATATATATATATATATATATATATATATATATATATATATATATATATATATATTATACGTGTGTAGGTGTTTTTTGCAGTACATAGAGGATGCTGCCAAACTTACGTTTAATGCGAGGGTCAGTTGGGTAGTTAGCTGTGGAAGCTAGAGTCCATAACGTAGTCAGTACTGCAGCTCCCACCACAGACCACAGAACCACCACCGTCCTACCTACAACACCAAACTAAAATTCATTTCATGAAATTAAAAGTGTAAGCAACAGAAGTATCAATAATGCAATCATTATGCAGTAAAATTAGATGTATTTTTATACCATAATAAGTAGTAGTAGTAATACTGATGTTTTCATTAACATCAAAATTTGATTTCATCATAATTGTTGTTGTTGTCGATTCGCCGGTACTCTCCCGGCCCGAGTCTTTTCCAGATGGTGACCCGGCCTTGGTTCCCTTTTTGGGAGTGTCTGAGACCTATGTCTCCCATGGGAGGAGGTACAAGTACCTCCTCATCTTCGGGACCAACTATCCCCAGGCCTAGCCCCGTTCCCCGCCCTCACGGGGCTCGTAGGGAGAAGCTAGACCTCTGATCTGCCATCTGCCCCTCCCCAGGGGGGCTCGTGGCAGTGATTTTTTTTTAGATTTTGCCACCGAAGTGGCTAGTTTATTGTGCACCCCATATCCATCCTGTGGACGGTAGCGCGAGAGCATATGGATACACAAAAGGCCTAGGAACTAGGCCCCAAAGGGTTAACAGGAATACATATCGTGGCAGTGGCAGTCTATATATCAGCGTATATATGCTGAAAGTTTAATCCCTGATTAAAGTGTTTAAGTAATCTTGTCTGGTGGTGAAAAGGTTACAGTGCAGCAGCAGCATTAATGACCTAGCGTGTCTATAGGCTTTAAGCCTCATTAACCAACCATCCTATCTTCAAAGCTAAGAGTCCTTTTTTATCTCTTGTTTTAGATACAACTTAGTGTGCGGATACTTTTTTCCTCCAATATCGTACTTAAATCATACTTGCAGGTGTGGAATCTCCCTGCACATTGGAATTTTACTCTGGATATAACATACAGGAATTTATATATTTTCATAACATTTTTTTTCCCATATGTGACCCACACTAATCTGCTCAAACCCTGGTACCTATTTTTTCCTGGTGGACGGGCACTAAGGGAGGTGTGTATTAAACTTGCCCAAGTGTTACGCCGCATCTGGTAATAGAACTTGGAATGTTTCAGTTGTGTGCTGTATGTACTGACAACTGAGGAACGGGGTACAATATGCTTCTTACAGTGGTTAGACTTAACAGTATAAGTAACGTTATCAATAGTGGGGCATCCCAGAACAAGGCGTTGCCATGGCGAGGGTGAGGGTCCGGGTTCAATTGCCGGCAAAGGGTGGAAACATTGGTCGTGTTTCCTTACACTGGTTGTCCATGTTCACCCATCAGTAATAATGGATACCTGGGTGTTAGTGGACTGGTGTGAGTCGCATCCTGGGACAAAATGACCTAATTTGTCCGAAATGCTGTGCAACAAGCGACTTTCTATATAGTAGTGTCACTGATGTCAGCTATGGTCTGGATACTTTGTACATGTACTTGTAGAAATAAATATATTATTATTATTAGATTCGAAGAATTAGTGAAAGTTTTGTAACTTCTTAAGACTAACAGAACAGAATGTAAGTAATTATTTTCAATCGAATACAACTATACTAGACAACTTTCGATGATGAATAATGTTTACCTGGAGTTTACCTGGAGAGAGTTCCCGGGGTCAACGCCCCCGCGGCCCGGTCTGTGGCCAACGTAATGTTATAAATTAACTTTGAACTGTAATAGTTATATATAAAAGCTTGTAATTCTGATGTATGTAGGTAGACTAGTAGTGCTTTTTCCTCACCAGAAATATAAAGTCCTTTTTATCCATCCCGGGGAGTACGTGTGCCCTGTGTTGGCTGGTCTGGGTAAAAGATCAATAGATGTTCCACCTTGAACATGTTGTTACAAGGTTACCTACCTCTCTCACGGGTCTTACACATTGTTCAGCGATCTTAAACGTGATCCTGATGGATTTAAATAACCTGTATATTTCTGCCCTTCCACATTTTTCAGGTTCCTAAACTATATACTTGGGAATCGTAAATCTTTAGGCGCCTTAAAACCGTCTGAGATTGTGTTCTAACCCTTGAAGCTTCTGATCTATCAATTTTAAGATTATGTTACAGCAGTCTAAGTACTACTAGCACATAACAACCGTTCATTCTGTTACACTATTTGTGCCTGTGGATCCACAGATCACCTTAAGCCAACACGAGGAAATTAAATCTTCATCAGAGTACAAAACAAATTCTGGCCACAAAATAGAGCGAAACACCAACGTCAAAGACCTGGGAGTGATCATGTCGGAGGATCTCACCTTCAAGGACCATAACATTGTATCAATCGCATCTGCTAGAAAAATGACAGGATGGATAATGAGAACCTTCAAAACTAGGGAGGCCAAGCCCATGATGACACTCTTCAGGTCACTTGTTCTATCTAGGCTGGAATATTGCTGCACACTAACAGCACCTTTCAAGGCAGGTGAAATTGCTGACCTAGAAAATGTACAGAGAACCTTCACGGCGCGCATAACGGAGATAAAACACCTCAATTACTGGGAGCGCTTGAGGTTCCTAAAACTGTATTCCCTGGAACGCAGGAGGGAGAGATACATGATTATATACACCTGGAAAATCCTAGAGGGACTAGTACCGAACTTGCACACGAAAATCACTCACTACGAAAGCAAAAGACTTGGCAGACGATGCAACATCCCCCCAATGAAAAGCAGGGGTGTCACTAGCACGTTAAGAGACCATACAATAAGTGTCAGGGGCCCGAGACTGTTCAACTGCCTCCCAGCATACATAAGGGGGATTACCAATAGACCCCTGGCAGTCTTCAAGCTGGCACTGGACAAGCACCTAAAGTCAGTTCCGGATCAGCCGGGGTGTGGCTCGTACGCTGGTTTGCGTGCAGCCAGCAGTAACAGCCTGGTTGATCAGGCTCTGATCCACCAGGAGGCCTGGTCACAGACCGGGCCGCGGGGGCGTTGACCCCCGGAACTCTCTCCAGGTAAACTCCAGGTAATAATAAATCAACAAAAGTCGTAGTACGAATGATCACACAGTCCACTGCTAGACAATACACTCTCCCAACTCTTCAAACACCTAAATCTACTCACCATACAAAACATTCACTCTTACCACTGTGCATCCTACATTTACAGAACAATCATTCTAATATTAATTCCCACCTGAAGCACTCTCTTGACAGTTGCAACAGGACTCATAGACATAATACTAGGCACAAAAATTTCTAACAGTCCGTGTCAGGGTAAATCTGTAAAAATTTAGTGTACATAAAAGGAACCGAAATCTGGAACTCTGCCGGAAGTTTCCAGAGCTACACCCCTCAAGGGAGGTTCCTTGACGCTGGTGAGGTGTTCTTGATCTAGGGAATTGGATCTGTGCTCCAGTTCCCTGAATTGAGCCTGAATAACTTCCACCCCCTCCCCCAACATGTGCTGTATAATCCTATGGGTTTAGCACTCCCCCATGATTGCAATAATTATCCAGAGCTAGTCTCAGCCAGCATCTTCAAAACTACCGTTAAAAAACTCTTACTCTCCCTAACATATCCCAACATCAGCTAAATATGTGAAAACTATGTATCCATATTCTCAATGTCACAAACATAGGGAAAACAATATAATCTTATTCTTAATATCTGTAATACTCACAACCATTAACACTGTGTCCACATTATGTTAATCTGCTAGAATCCTCATCACCTATAATAATAATCAAACCTGTAATTCTTTAAGCAATTAAACTTGATAAAAGCCACATAGCATGTACCAATAGGATAGTCAGTTCTCTGGTATTCATTGTAACTTTTAAATTTATATTGACAACCACCTAAGAAACTGTATACAAAACCACTCGATTTGTCATTGCCTTATTAATCTTAAGTTAGTCTTAAATTTGCCCGAAATGCTCTGCAGATGAAGGGACTTTCCGCATGCACACCTAAATGTCATGCACCTCTGTACAAACATTGTATCATGCTGAAATAAAGTATATTATCTTATATCTGGAGTATACCAGGAGGGGGATCAACGTTCTCGCTGCCCGGTCCGTGACCAGGCCTCGCTATGGATCAGGGCCTGAATAACCAGGCTGTTACTTCTGGCCACACGTAAACCAACGTACGAGCCACAGACCGGCTGGTCAGGTACTGACTTTAAATGTCTGTCTAGTTCCTTCTTGAAGACAGCCAGGACTCTATTGGTAATCTCTCTTATGTATCCTGGGATGCAATTGAACTGTCTTGGGCCCTTGACACTTACTGTGTTGTCTCTTAGCGTAATCTTGGCGCCCCTGCTTTTCACTGGGGGATATTGCATCTCCTGCCGAGTCTTTTGCTTTCGTAGGGAGTGATTTTCGTGTGCAGATTTGGGACTAGTCCCTCTAGGATTTTCCAAGTGTATATCATCATATATCTTTCTCTCCTGTGTTCCGAGGAATACAAATCAAGGGACTTCAACCGTTCCTAATAATTTAGGTGCTTTATCATACTTATACGTGCCGTGAAAGTTCTCTCTATATTCTCAAGGTCTGCAATTTCGCCTGCCTTGAAAGACGCCATTAGTTTACAACAGTATTTCAGGCTAGAGAGGACAAGCAATTTGAAGAGAATCATAGGCTTGGCATCTCTAGTTTTGAAGATTCACAATATCCATCTTATTATTTTCCTAGCAGATGTGGTGGATACAATGTTGAGATCTTTGAAAGTGAGATTCTCTGACATTATCACTCTCACGTCCTTCACATTAGTTTTTCGCTCTATTGCGTGGTTGGAATTTGTTTTCATCTCCGATACAGTTTTAATTTCCTGAGTTTTCCATAGCGGAGTAATTGAAATTTTCCTTCATTGAACTTCATATTGTTTTCTGCGGCCTGTTTAAAGATTTGGTTGATGTCCGCTTAGATGGATGGATGACACTGTTATGCAAATTCGGGTGTCTTCCGCAAAAGAGGACACGGTGCTGTGGCTTACATCATTGTCTATATCAGATATGAGGATGAGGAACAGGATGGGATCGAGTAGTGTACCTTGTAGAACAGAGCTTTTCACTGTAGCCGCCTCAGACTTCGCTTTATTTACTATTACTCTTTGTGTTCTATTTGTTAGGAAGTTATAGATCCATCTACCAACTTTTCCTGTTATTCCTTTATCATTCATTTTGTGTGCCATGACACCATGATCGTATTTTTCGAAAGGCTTTCTCAAAGTCTGTGTATACCACATCTGCATTTTGTCCTCCAGAGCATCCAAGACCATGTCATAGTAGTCCAGTAGTTGAGATAGGCAGGAATGACCTGCTCTAAACCCATGTTGCCCTGGGTTGTGCAACTGATGGGTATGTAAGTGGTAGCGATCTTGCTTCTTAGAACCCCGTCAGAGGTTTTTATGTGGGACGTTAGTGATATCGGTCTGTAATTCTTTGCAATTGCTTTACTGTCAGCTTTGTGAAGTGGAGCTATGTCTGTTTTTTAGTGACTGTGCAGTGACCCCTGTATCCATGCTCTCTCCATAGAATACTTAAGGCTTGTGAAAGGGGCTTCTTGCAGTTCGTGATGAACATGGAGTTCCACGAGTCTGAGCTTGAGGCAGAGTGCATGGGCTTGACATTTATTGCTTTTTCAGAGTCTTGTGGTGTTAGGATAATATCAGAAATTTTTGAATTAACCAAATTTTGAGTCTGGGTCATAAAAAATTAATTTAAATTGCCCACCCTTAGTCTGATTAACGGCTCAATAAACGATGAGTCATACTGGAACTTCAGTATCTCACTCATTTCTTTGCTGTCATCTATGTAAATCCCATCTCGTTTAAGTAGGGGGTCCAATACAGGATGTTGTTTTTACTATTTACCACTACTAATAGCACTACTAAAACAGCTGCTGCTGCTTCTACAAGCATGACAAATGGAATTACTACTGCTATATAAAATACTTGCCTCTGTTCACCTGTCGGGCATCATCTTTAGTGGACTTGAGGGGTACAGCAAGACTTTGACCTGCACAAGGTCTGCCCATCTTGAGTAATGTCACCAGCAGAAATTGGAATTGCAGTAGTCTTTAACTCCCTCGGGTTGATTCAGGGTCGGATTAAATGCCTACTGGACCTGAAGCTGAGAATTTGTAATGGGCTCACACTACACACTAGAAGTCAAAATAATGAAAAAAAATATATGCATCTTTTATTTTAATATAATAAAACGTATAGATTTTTTTTTTAAATATTTCGAAATCTGAAAAAATCTGTATTTTTATAATCCAGTTTTGGTGATGGGCTTGGAGCTTCAGCTCACTCAGCCCCCTCTTTATAGAGCCCTGGGTAGAGCCGTACCATAGTATTGTTACTTTCTAGAAGAATGTCTAAGTGTTTATCTTGGATTGTATCATGACGAGCTACAAGTTGTCTCTTAACATCACACTACAACTATTAGCCCATTACAACCGTTAATAATGTTTTTATAACTACTACTACTGTACTATTACTAATACCCCTCTTGGGGAATCTTGATATTAGTGAACCCACCTAGACATTCAGAAGTGTAGCTGGGTTAGTTTAGGGGTAAATGAAAAGTAAATAAGTAAGTTTATTCAGGTATACACAAATACAGTTACATAGATTATCATACATAGCAGCATATGTGTAGAGAACCTATAATAACCCAAAAAAAAGTCAGAGTGACTTATTTACATTGGGGTCCTTTTAATTATTATTATAATATAAAGGAGATAATATTTTATTATTATACTGTAAAGGAGATATACTTGGAATAAGGGAAGATTATATGTGTGTTAGCTAAAAAAAAAAAAAATCATTCTCCTCCCTCCCTCTCTGTTCACAATTGAAGAAAGGGGAAAAGAGACAAGAGTGTTTTTGAGTGTGTAGAACGTAAGGTTTTAGTGGCTGCAAAACCCGGAAAATATATGAGAGAATAGTGTATATCGTATGCATATGTATATGTATATGGATGCACTTAACAGGTGGGAATCATGCAGCAGCTGGAAACAGCATGGTAATGTCAACAGAGTGAGGAGACTAGGGGCAGTAGAAATGTCATGTTTCAGATCAATAATCAGTGTGAACATTGTGTAGAAAATAAGGAATGAGTTAAATAGGTGTTTTTATATAAAAATATATAATTCAAAGAGCTGGGCCAATGTTTCCCCGGACTCTTGGACTGGTATATATAAAGTCCTATTTCTTCGAGATGTACAAATGCATTAATTTCGCTTTGTCAGATTATAAACATGTTATTTTGATTTAAGAACTGGAGTTACCATTCTTTTTTCTTGGACTAAACATGACTTCCTCCCATTTCCCACTCGTTGTAGAAACCTTACGTGTTTAGCGCTCCACTATGAAACTTAAAATAATACTAACTACATTGGTAGAACGAGAAAAACTACGTTTACCTAACACACGTATTACGCACTATAGTTTTTGTTATATGTAATCACATAATAGACTTTTTTAAACTGGAATAAATTTGTTAGAATGATGTTTATCATTCTTAATGAGATAACAGAATGTTCTCGTACCAAGAATAATGACCGTCCACCACTCTAGCATTAACAGTGACAAACCTTCAACATGATAGCGCTAAACGTGATAAACATCAAACATGATAGCGCTAAACGTGATAAACCTCAAACATGATAGCGCTAAACGTGATAAACCTCAAACAAGATAGCGCTAAACGTGATAAACCTCAAACATGATAGCGCTAAACGTGATAAACCTCAAACATGATAGCGCTAAACGTGGTAAACCTCAAACATGATAGCGCTAAACGTGATAAACCTCAAACATGATAGCGCTAAACGTGATAAACCTCAAACATGATAGCGCTAAACGTGATAAACCTCAAACATGATAGCGCTAAACGTGGTAAACCTCAAACATGATAGCGCTAAACGTGACAAACCTCAAACATGATAGCGCTAAAACGTGATAAACCTCAAACATTGATAGCGCTAAACGTGGTAAACCTCAAACAAGATAGCGCTAAACGTGATAAACCTCAAACATGATAGCGCTAAACGTGATAAACCTCAAACATGATAGCGCTAAACGTGGTAAACCTCAAACATGATAGCGCTAAACGTGATAAACCTCAAACATGATAGCGCTAAACGTGATAAACCTCAAACATGATAGCGCTAAACGTGATAAACCTCAAACATGATAGCGCTAAACGTGGTAAACCTCAAACATGATAGCGCTAAACGTGATAAACCTCAAACATGATAGCGCTAAACGTGATAAACCTCAAACATGATAGCGCTAAACGTGGTAAACCTCAAACATGATAGCGCTAAACGTGATAAACCTCAAACATGATAGCGCTAAACGTGATAAACATCAAAAATGATAGCGCTAAACGTGATAAACATCAAACATGATAGCGCTAAACGTGATAAACATCAAACATTCCAGGACTACACGTGATAAATGTCAAACATTCTAACATTTAACTTGATAAACGTCAAACTTTCTAGCACTAAGAGTGATAAATGTCAAACATTCGAACACTAAACGTGATAAAGTCAAACATTCTAGCACTAAACGTTATAAACGTTAAACATTCTAGTACTAAACGTGATAAACGTCAAACATGTTAGCACTAAACGTGATAAACGTCAAACATTCTAGCATTAAACGTGATAAACGTCAAACATTCTAGCATTAAATGTGATAAACGTCAAACATTCTAGCATTAAACGTGACAAATTTTAAACATCCTAGCATTAAACGTGACAAACGTTAAACATTCTAGCTTTAAATGTGACAAACGCTAAACATTCTAGCATTAAACGTGATAAACGTCAAACATCCTAGCATATAGAGCAATAAACGTAAACATTCAACAATTTCACGTTTAATGTTTTTCGTCTGCCACATCATGGTGACTTAATGAAAATAAAGAAATAACATTTAGAGAAAAACATGAAACGCTGAATGAATGACGTTGAGCGAAACGTCGTCAGTTTTGGACTTTTTAAAACGAAAATGTTGGAGAATTGGCTGTAGCAGTATTACTATTGTTATTATTATTATTATTATTATTATTATTATTATTATTATTATTATTATTATTATTATTATATTTGAAAATAAAACGTTAAATCCGTATGGGTTACACAGCAATAGTCTATATAGTGAAGAAATATTAAGATGATCCTCGAGGAGGCTCCTAATCCAAGGAATTGGATTTGTCTTCCTCTTCCTTGGATTGACCCTAATTGTCTCCCATTCACCAGGCGCTGTATGACCCGTACGAGTTTAGCGTTTCCTTGTAAATATTATAATACTAATATACAGATGCCGTCTCACTATAAATTTTCACGATACCATAAAAGAAATTTGGCTTCGGTCTTGATTCTGAGAAATTCCTTAAATTCCATAACACAATAAGGATCACAATGGAAATATAATGTAAATAGGTCACTTTGACTCTTTTGGGTTATCCTAAGTAACCTACACATATTCTGTTATGTATGACAATTTATATAACTGTATTTATGTGTATTTGTACCAGAATAAACTTAACATTATTGTTTTAAAAAATCAGTTCACCTTAAATCTGCGGGACGAACAATTTTCCAATGGTGAAGGATATTGAGCTGAGTGCAGCAGCTTGAAGCAGCGGGGGAACACTTGTCTTAGTTTATTCCAAAGTGATCACTTGTTCACTTAACAATTATCTGGGTACAACATATGGAATCACTTTTTGTTAGTTTGACGTTGAGAGAAGCTGTTGCCAGTTATTGTGAACTGACATGAGCCCAGTAAGCTGAGACTTACGTTTGGAAGCGATGCTCTCCATGTTGTGTGAGCAGCGTCGTCACGACTGGCAGCGCTGCGCCGCCGCCGCCGCTGCCACACGCACCACCACCCGCACCTGCACACCACCACACACACCACCACACGCACCACCACACGCACCACCACACGCACCACCATACGCACCACCACACGCACCACCACACGCACCACCACACACACCACCACACACGCACCACCACACGCACCACCACACGCACCACCATACGCACCACCACACGCACCACCACACACCACCATACGCACCACCACACGCACCTGCACACACCACCACACGCACCTGCACACACCACCACACGCACCACCACACACACAACCACACGCACCTGCACACACCACCACACGCACCTGCACACACCACCACACGCACCACCACACGCACCTGCACACACCTCCACACGCACCACCACACACCACCACACGCACCACCACACGCACCACCACACGCACCACCACACACACCACAGCACGTACCTGCACACACCACCACACACATCACCACACTCACCTGCACACACACCACCACACGCACCACACACGCACCTGCACACACCACACACCACCACACGCACCACCACACACACCACCACACGCACCACCACACACACCACCACACGCACCACCACACACACCACCACACGCACCACCACACACACCACCACACGCACCACCACACACATACTGGAGTATGCAGCACCTGTTTGGAACCCGCACTTGATAAAGCACGTCAAGAAACTAGAGAAAGTACAAAGGTTTGCAACAAGGTTAGTTCCAGAGCTAAGGGGAATGTCCTATGAAGAAAGATTAAGGGAAATCGGCCTGACGACACTGGAGGACAGGAGGGTCAGGGGAGACATGATAACGACATATAAAATACTGCGTGGAATAGACAAGGTGGACAAGGACAGGATGTTCCAGGGAGGGGACACAGAAACAAGAGGCCACAATTGGAAGTTGAAGACACAAATGAGTCAGAGAGATAGTAGGAAGTATTTCTTCAGTCATAGAGTTGTAAGGCAGTGGAATAGCCTAGAAAATGACGTAGTGGAGGCAGGAACCATACACAGTTTTAAGACGAGGTTTGATAAAGCTCATGGAGGGGGGAGAGAGAGGGTCTAGTAGCAACCGGTGAAGAGGCGGGGCCAGGAGCTAGGACTCGACCCCTGCAACCACAAATAGGTGAGTACAAATAGGTGAGTACACACTACCACACGCACCTACACACACACACGCCAACACACACACACACACACACACACACACACACACACACACACACACACACACACACACACACACACACACACACACACACACACACACACACAGACTCTGAGGTGTCCTTGTTTGCAGATGACGTGAAGTTGATGAGAAGAATTCACTCGATCGAAGACCAGGCAGAACTACAAAGGGATCTGGACAGGCTGCAGACCTGGTCCAGCAATTGGCTCCTGGAGTTCAATCCCACCAAGTGCAAAGTCATGAAGATTGGGGAAGGGCAAAGAAGGCCGCAGACGGAGTACAGTCTAGGGGGTCAGAGACTACAAACCTCACTCAAGGAAAAAGATCTTGAGGTGAGTATAACACCAGGCACATCTCCTGAAGCGCACATCAACCAAATAACTGCTGCAGCATATGGGCGCCTAGCAAACCTCAGAACAGCTTTCCGACATCTTAATAAGGAATCATTCAGGACCCTGTACACCGTGTACGTTAGGCCCATATTGGAGTATGCGGCACCAGTTTGGAACCCACACTTAGCCAAGCACGTGAAGAAACTAGAGAAAGTGCAAAGGTTTGCAACAAGACTAGTCCTAGAGCTAAGAGGTATGTCCTACGAGAGAGGTTAAGGGAAATCAACCTGACGACACTGGAGGACAGGAGAGATAGGGGGACATGATAACGACATACAAAATACTGAGAGGAATTGACAAGGTGGACAAAGACAGGATGTTCCAGAGATTGGACACAGTAACAAGGGGACACAGTTGGAAGCTGAAGACACAGATGAATCACAGGGATGTTGGGAAGTATTTCTTCAGCCACAGAGTAGTCAGTAAGTGGAATAGTTTGGGAAGCGATGTAGTGGAGGCGGGAAACCATACATAGCTTTAAGCAGAGGTATGATAAAGCTCACGGCTGCAGGGAAGTGACCTAGTAGCGATCAGTGAAGAGGGCGGGGGCCAGGAGCTCGGACTCCGACCCCGCAACCTCAACTAGTGAGTACAACTAGGTGAGTACACACAAACACACACACACACACACAGAGCTAAGACTCGACCCCCTGCAACCACAAATAGGTGAGTACACACACATACACCAACATGCACACACACACACAAAACACACACACACACACACACACAACACACACACAAAAACACACACACACACACAAAACACACACACACACCCACACACACACACACACACACTGGCTACAGTGGCAGAAGAGCTCATGCATGCGGGGCAAAGCTCCTGATCATGGGCGACTTTACCACAAGGAATCGATGGGAGAACTTGGAGCCACATGGGGCCAAGATACATGGAGGGCTAAGATGAGGAGGTGGTACTGGAAAACTTCATTTTACCAACACGTAAGGGACACTACAAGAGAGAGAGGAGAGGATGACCAGCAAGACTGGACTTAGTATTCACCTTGAGTAGGGGCAGATATTGAGGACATCACATATGAAAGACCCCTTTGGGGGCCAGCGATCATGTGGTTTGAGCTTCGAATACACAGAGACTACAAGTGGAGGGGGAAGCAGGAAGGCAAGGACAAATGAAACCAAACTACAGGAAAGGGGACTACACAGGAATGAGGAACTTCCTGAATGAGGTTCAGTGGGACAGAGAACTGGCAGGGAAGCCAGTTAATGAGATGATGGAATATGTAGCAACAATGTGCAAGGAGGCTGAGGAGAGGTTTGTACCCAAGGGTAACAGGAATAATGAAAAAGCCAGGATGAGCCCATGGGTCACCCAAAGATGCAAGGAGGCAAAAACCAAGTGTGCTAGGGAATGAAAGAAATATAGAAGGCAAAGAACCCAGGAGAATAAGGAGAGCAGTCGTAGAGCCAGAAAAACGAATATGCACAGATAAGAAGGGAGGCCCAACGTCAATATGAAAATGACATAGCAGCAAAAGCCAAATCTGACCCGAAGCTGTTATACAGCCACATCAGGAAGAAAAACAACCGTTAAGGACCAGGTAATCAGGCTAAGGAAGGAAGGAGGAGAGACAACAAGAAATGACCGTGAAGTATGTGAGGAACTCAACAAGAGATTCAAAGAAGTGTTCACAGAGGAGACAGAAGGGGCTCCAGAAAGACGGAGAGGTGGGGTACACCATCATGTGCTGGACACAGTACACACAACCGAGGAAGAAGTGAAGAGGCTTCTGAGTGAGCTAGATACCTCAAAGGCAATGGGGCCAGATAACATCTCTCCATGGGTCCTGAGAGAGGGAGCAGAGGCACTATGTGTACCCCTAACAACAATATTCAATACATCTATCGAAACAGGGAGATTGCCTGAGGCATGGAAGACAGCAAATGTGGTCCCAATCTTTAAAAAAAGGAGAAGACATGAAGCACTAAACTACAGCCCAGTGTCACTGACATGTATAGCATGCAAAATCATGGAAAAAATTGTCAGGAGAAGAATGGTGGAACATCTAGAAAGGAATGATCTCATCACCAGCAGCCAACATGGTTTCAGAGATGGGAAATCCTGTGTCACAAACCTACTGGAGTTCTATGACATGGTGACAACAGTAAGACAAGAGAGAGAGGGGTGGGTGGATTGCATTTTCTTGGACTGCAAGAAGGCTTTTGACACAGTACCACACATGAGATTAGTGCAAAAACTGGAGGACCAAGCAGGGATAACAGGGAAGGCACTGCAATGGATCAGGGAATACTTGTCAGGAAGACAGCAGCGAGTATTATTATAATCAAGGGGGAAGCGCTAAACCCGGAGGATTATACAGCGCCTGGGGGGGATGTGGAAGGCATTCAGGCTTAATTCGGGGAACTGGAGCACAGATCCAATTCCCTAAATCAAGAGCCCCTCACCAACATCAAGGAACCTTCCTTGAGGGGACAGCAGCGAGTAATGGTACGTGGCGAGGTGTCAGAGTGGGCACCTGTGACCAGCAGGGTCCCACAGGGGTCAGTCCTAGGACCAGTGCTGTTTCTGGTATTTGTGAACGACATGACGGAAGGAATAAACTCCGAGGTGTCCCTGTTTGTAGATGACGTGAAGATGTGATGAGAAGAGTTCATTCGATCGAAGGACCAGGCAGAACTACAAAGGGATCTGGACAGGCTGCAGACCTGGTCCAGCAACTGGCCTCCTGGAGTTCAATCCCACCAAGTGCAAAGTCATGGGATTGGGGAAGGGCAAAGAAGACCGCAGACGGAACACAGTCTAGGGGGCCAGAGACTACAAAACATCACTCATGGAAAAAGATCTTGGGGTGAGTTATAACACCAGGCACATCTCCTGAAGCGCACATCAACCAAATAACTGCCGCAGCATATGGGCCCCTGGCAAACCTCAGAACAGCATCCGACATCTTAATAAGGAATCGTTCAGGACCCTGTACACCGTGTACGTTAGGCCCATATTAGAGTATGCGGCACCAGTTTGGAACCCACACCTAGCCAAGCATGTAAAGAAACTAGAGAAAGTGCAAAGGTTTGCAACAAGACTAGTCCCAGAGGTTAAGAGGTATGTCCTATGAGGAAGGGTTAAGGGAAATCAACCTGACGACAATGGAGCACAGGAGAGATAGGGGGACATGATAACGACTTACAAAATACTGAGAGGAATTGACAAGGTGGACAAAGACAGGATGTTCCAGAGACTGGACACAGCAACACGGGACACAGTTGGAAGCTGAAGACACAGATGAATCAAAGGGATGTTAGGAAGTATTTCTTCAGCCACAGAGTAGTCAGGAAGTGGAATAGTTTGGGAAGCGATGTAGTGGAGGCAGGATCCATACATAGC